CAGGGTGCAGACGGCTGCTGGTTCTGGGGCTGGTCAGGAAATCAAGGTAAGGGAAGGAGTGCGTGTGGGCCCTGAGGGGTTTTCCTCGGGGCAGAGCTGAGAGTGGGGAGGGGGCCAAGACGAGGGAAGCATGTGGGCAGACATTGGGCAGAACTGTTACCCTCTCATCCCCCAGGAGAATTTCAATCATGGACCCACCATCAACAAACCAGGCCTACCAATCTCAGCCTGCAGCCACATCCCCACTAACCTCCTACCGCTGGCATACAGGGTCTAGTGGAGAGAGGGGGGCTGGAGGGTTCCACTGGGGCCGCTTTGCAGGCTGGGGGAGGGCCTTGAGCCACCAGGAACCCATGGTCAGCAGCCAGCCTGCCCGTCGCTCGCTGTTCCGCCGTGTCCTCTCTGCGCCCCCCAAGGAATCACGTACGAGCCGCCTCCGAATATCCAAGACCCTCTGGGGGAGGCATAAGAGTCCACCACTGGAGCCGGAGCCAGAGCCGGAGGCCTCAGGTACCCGGAGTTGGGGCTGGGCTGGGGGACCGGATGCTTGGGTTCTGTCTGCCTTCAGAGCATCAGCCTTACAGACACAGGAAGTTGTGGGGAGTGCAAAAGCCCAACAGGAAGTGGCTGGGGCCCCCGGCTGCCCTCTTCCTTCTTTCCCCCTTACCCAGGGCCTGAGGTGTGGGGTGTGGCCAGGGACCTGTGGGTAAGGGGGTCCAGCCTGGAAAAGGGACAGGGAATAGACTGACAATAGTGCTGCAAAAGGCTCTTGGCCCCAGCAGGTCTCTGCTCATATCCAATAGCCTATGCTCATCCTCTCCTGCCTGGATATCCATCTCAGCCACATTCTGCTCTCCTGTCCTCTGGCTTCTATGTCTTAGTTTCTTCACTCCCTTGGGCCTCAGCTTCCCCGCATCAGTTAAGCGGGAATCATGAACCCTACCCTAAAGGGTATATGCTTTCATTCATTTATTTATCCATTCATTCAAGCAGAGGTCTGTTGAGCATTTACCATGTGCCAGGCCCTGGTTTAGGCACTGAGGACACAACAGTAAACAAACAAATGTCACTGTCTGCCATGTGAGGCTCACAGTGTAGCGGGCACGATAGACAGTAAACAAGTAAACACGAAAATGACAGAGAAAGCTAAGTATCACACAGAGGTATCATGAGGATTGGAGCTCACGAATGAAGGGCTAGCCCAAGGCCTAGCATATTTGAAGTATTTTAAGTGGCCTGTTACAAGTGGTAGTTATTATTCCTTTCCCTGGTGGTAAAACAATAGGACAGACAGATAATCTAGGAGGATTGGTTCAGCCTTCCTATTCCTGGAAGTTCATTTAATTCTCACCATTCATAGTCCCATTTTATAGAGACACCCCTTCAGCTCCCTCTAGGGTATCAGATATTGCCCACTCCATAGAATCCAGAGAGAGCTCTCTAACAAGCAGACCAGATCCTCCCCTGCTCAAATGCCGTCCATGGCTCCCCACTACCCCGGGATAAAACCTCTTCTAACTGGTACCCACGGTCCTCCACCAATCCCTTCTTGGACCTTCCCTTCTAGCCTCTGAGCCCCCCAAGCCCTTTGCTCTTCCCTGTATTTCCCTGGGCCTTGCCATTTCCCAGCCTTTGATCAAGCTGTTACTGCCACCATCCCCTCCATCTCTGTCAAAATCCAACCTGCTGTTCGAGTCTCAGCACAAACTTAACTCCTCTAGGAGGCCTTCCCTGGCCCACTGCACTACCACCTCCCCTACCCCAGCCTCTTTCTATTCTTTTGTTAAACTTTGAATATATTCCACCTTGGACTAGTTACTTATGTAAGGAACCAAGGCTTATGTCCTGTTGTTTAACCTCTTGGACCTACCCACCGTCTCAGTTAAGAGAAGAATGTTGTGGCTGAAGCCCAGCTCAACCATTCACAAGCTGGGTGGACCTGGAAAGTCACTCAACCTCTCTGGGTTTCAGTTTCCTCCTTGGTAAAATGGGGTTATAATAGCCCTTCTAATGGCTTTGGAGGATTAAATGAGCAGTGAACACAGTATAGGTCACAGAGGAGGTAGGCTGTGTCCTCTACCCATGGCCGGTAGAGAGAAGCCCCAGAGAGGGGCCTTGCTCAATAACTACATGATATGGCTGCTTGAGGTGGGGGGCATGGGAGGAACTTAGGAGGGAATCCCCATTGACCCTTGGTGAATGGAAAGGGTGGTCTGAGGGACAGGAGGGACTCCCAGGTCCCCTGCACCTCTTCTTCCACCCAGAGCCTGAGCCAGAGTCGGAGACCCCTACCCCACAGATCCCCGAGGCTCCCACACCCGATGTGCCCGTTTGGAACATTGGGGCCTTCACCCTGCTCGATGGGAGGCTGGTGCTGCTTGGGGGTGAGGAGGAGGTGAGAAGGGGGCCATGGGCAAAGAGAGGGAAGGTTGGTGAAGGGAGGGGGAATAGTAGAAAGCTGTCTGCCTTTCTGTGGGTCTGCCTGCTTCCCCTTTCTGACTACCCACTCCTGCGGGGGAACAGGGTCCTCGCCGGTCCCGGGCAGGGAGTGCTAGTTCCGAAGGCAGCATCCAGGCGGTCGTGAGGAACCTCAGGGATCCAGGTAAGAAAGTGTGAGAGGTGGGGAGTGCTGGGGCATTTGGGAGCCTGTCAAGGTGGGGCAGAATCCAAGATAATACCATCCTTCAATCTTCTACCCCTGACCACCTCTTAGATCGGATCCCTGGAAAGACTGAGCCAGAGGCTGCTGGCCCCACCCAGGTTCACAACGTTCGGGTGAGGCATCCAGTAGGGGGGTGTGTATGGGAGAGCAAAGACTCTCAGATCCTCAGAGGGGAAAGAGGACTCTTACTGGGCGATCCTGGGCAAGTCACTGAACCTCTGGGCTTCAGTGTCTTTATCTGTCAAATGGAGCTAAAGAGAGAACCCCCCTCTCTGGGCTGTTTATGAGAAATCAATAGAAAATTCAGGAAAGCATACAACTAGTGTTTTAGAAATGGGAGCTATTGGCTGTCTTTACTATTCTTGCTAATGTAGCCTGAGCTTGTGGTCCCCCAAGACCAGCAGATCTTCCAAGATACCCTGGGGGAAAGGAGCCGAGGAGGGAACACAAGGTTCTGCCCAGCTGACATACCCCTCCCCACAGGGGTTGCTCAAACGGCTGAAAGAAAAGAAAAAGGCCAGGTCGGAGCTGGGATCCAATGCCTCCCGAGATGGGTAAGGGTCTCTGTGGAGCTGGAGGGGCTGGAATTCAATATTTCCCTCCCCCTCACCTTCTGGCTATCATTCTGATCTTCACTGCATACCCTCTGTGGCCCCCTCTGTGTCCTGCCCTGTGTTGCATGCTGGGGCCACTAGCACGAAGCCAGTCTCGGATAGGGTTTCACACAATAACTCAAACAAGAGCTAAGTCAACACCCTGGCCTGGGAGTGTCAGGGAAGGGACCCTTGAGCTGAGATCTGAAGGATGGATGGAAATTAACTAGGCCAAGAAGGGCAGGAAAAGCATTCCAGGCAGAGGAAACAGCATGTGCAAAGGCCAAGAGACCAGATGAAGACACAAAAACAAGGCCAGTGTGACTGAAGTTCAGACTGTGTGGAATTAAGCGAGGGCAAAGAATGTCAAAAGGTGAAAAGGGCTATACTCTGCAAGGTCATATAGGCCCCCATGAGGAGCTGGGTTGATCCTAAATGCGAAAGGCTCAAATCCAATTTATGTTCAAGTTCATCCCGGCATCCCTCCACCCTTCAGGCTATAGGGAGTGGTGGGGAAAGGAAGGAGAAATGAGCTTGTTCTCTGCCCCTTCCCCAGACCCTCCAGTACTCTGGGCTCTCGGGAATCGCTGGCCACACTCTCTGAGCTGGACCTGGGCTCCGAGCGGGATGTGCGGGTTTGGCCACTGCACCCCAGCCTCCTGGGGGAGCCCCACTGCTTCCAGGTAAATGCAGGCAACTCTTCACATCACCCCGACCCTTTGGCTCCACCTTTGGTCTCAACCGCAATCTGGGATCCTCCTCCCCACCAGGTAACGTGGGCAGGCGGGAGCCGCTGCTTTTCCTGTCAGTCGGCCGCTGAGAGAGACCGCTGGATAGAGGACCTTCGTCGCCACTTCCAGCCCAGCCAGGTTGGTACTGCGGACAGTCAGGGACAAGGAGGCCCTGCCCACAGCCGAGGTCCCGCCCCTTCCACCAACCCAAACCCCACCCCGCTCCATAGCGCCGCCCCTTAAACTCTCCCCACTCACACCTGTGCAACCATTTCGAGGCCCTCTCCATCTAGTACTAGCCCCTTGCACTACGACTCCGTCCCTTCTATTCAGTCCGGGCCCTATTTGTGCCCAAAGCCCCGCCTGCCAGGTCGTTTCCAAGTCCCTACCCCGCGGCTATTCCTCCACACCCTGTAGCCCCGATCTGTCCGGGAGATCTCCCAGAACAGCTGGAAGGTTTTCGCATGGCTGCCTTGGGAGCCCCGTGGCCCCACTCTCTTCTTCTAGGGGCCCAACACGAGCACCGCGTTTTACCTCTGGGGCCCACCATCGAACACCCACGCCCCCTCTCACCACTCTGGTCCACAGGACAACGTGGAGCGGGAAGAGACGTGGCTGAGCGTTTGGGTGCACGAGGCGAAGGGGCTGCCCCGGGCGGCGGCGGGGACGCCGGGAGTGCGCGCTGAGCTGTGGCTGGACGGAGCGTTGCTGGCGCGCACAGCGCCGCGGACTGGCCCGGGCCAGCTCTTCTGGGCAGAGCGCTTCCACTTCGAAGCGCTGCCGCCCGCGCGTCGCGTGTCGTTGCGGCTGCGCGGAGCCGGCCCGGGAGGCGCGGTGCTGGGCCGCGCGACACTGGCTCTAGAGGAGCTAGGCGCCTCCGGCGCGCCCGCCGCCGGCCTGGAGCGCTGGTTCCCACTGTTAGGGGCTCCAGCCGGCGCCGCGCTGCGGGCGCGGATCCAGGCGCGGCGCCTGCGCGTGCTGCCGTCCGAGCGCTATAAGGAGCTGGCTGAGTTCCTCACTTTCCACTACGCGCGCCTCTGCGGGGCGCTGGAGCCCGCGCTCTCCGCGCTGACCAAGGAGGAGTTGGCTGCTGCCATGGTGCGCGTGCTGCGGGCCACCGGCCGGGCGCAGGTGTGTCACCGTGACGCGGCGGACCTGGGTGACTAGAGGCTGACCTGTCGCGCTCTCCGAGCAGGGGTCGGGAGCAGAACCAAATGGCACCTGGAGGGACATTGTCTGAGCTTCAACTGCAAGGGGCCGGGTACATTGAGGGGCGGGTTCTGAGCTGAGCTTCAGCGCTGAAAGGCTTAAGTTCCTGCGGTGAGGAGTAGAGGGTCCCGCCTGTTAGGTACCCTAGTAGTGAGGCTCAGACCTCAGCTGTAGCTCTGAGGGTCGGGGCCTGTGACCAGGGAAGAGGAACTCTCCAAGAGCAGGGATTCCCCCTAACTCAGTCTGCGCCCCGCCCAACGTGAACCCCGCTATGCCCAGGCACTCGTGACAGACTTGGGGACCGCGGAGCTTGCACGCAGTGGAGGCCGTGAGGCGCTGCTGTTTCGGGAAAACACATTGGCCACCAAGGCCATCGATGAGTACATGAAGCTGGTGGCACAGGACTACCTCCAAGAGACACTAGGTGAGGGGCAGGGGCTGTCAGAAGCCTGCTGGGTGGGCTAGGGGACTCCAGGGGAGATTTGGGAATCTGGGTAACCTGGATTCTGGTAGTAGGTGGTGCCTTCGGGGTTCTCTGATTCTGGAGAGAATTGGGGACTCCCCGAGATGCTAGGGGTCTCTGGAGTAAGTTGGAGATAGAGTCTGAGGCTGGGTGTAGTGGTCCTGGTGGTCATGGCCCTGGCCTGTCTGGCTGTGCTGGACTGCAGGGCAGGTGGTTCGGCGTCTCTGTGCCTCCACTGAGGACTGTGAGGTGGATCCCAGCAAGTGCCCCGCCTCAGAGCTTCCCCAGCACCAAGCCAGACTGCAAAACAGCTGCGAGGAGGTCTTCCAGAACATCATCCACTCCTACAAGTAAGAATCAGGACTCTAGCACCTGAGCCTGACCCTGCCTCCCACTTACTGTGCTAGTTGCCAGATAAAATATAGGGTGCCTCGTTAAATACGATTCAATGTTTGGGACATACTTATACTAAAAAATATTCATTTTTTATCTGAAATTCAAGTTTAATTGTCATCCTAAAGTTTTATTTGCTAAATCTGGCAACCCTTTCCCAATGTCATGTCACCTAACCCCAAGTAACCTGCAACCCAATTCCTTGTGCTCTAGCCATAGGTGACTCCATTTCATGCCACCTGACCCCAGTTAACATAGGACCTCAATCCTATAACCTGATTCCAGATGATGACATGCCCTCAATCTCATGACCCTTGCCTTAAGTGATCCTGTACCCCAAATCCCATGCAACTGATCACAGGAAAGCTAGGATTCCAATTCATTGACCTCTGACCTTAAGTTAATCTGTATGCCTAATCCCATGTCACCTGGAACAATAATACCATGATTTCTGAACCCAAGTGACCCTGTAACCCCAAACCTTCTATTTCATATCATGTACTCTGTCTGGCACCATAATTTCATGCCCAATTATAGCTAGAGCCCAAGCTCATAGCCTCTGTCCCCAAGTGAACTCATACTCCCAAATCCAAGATTTCTGACTCCAGAGACCATCACAGTAACACCATAAACCTTGAGCCCAAGCATCATTATTTCCGATGTCGCCAATATTGAAACTCAGAATGCAGGTGACTCCTGATCCCTGACCTTAAGATTTTGATATTTTGATCATCCATGAACTTTATGCGCATACCCTCCCCCTCTGACCATTGCCTTCTTTTCTTCAGCTGGTTCCCAGAAGAGCTAGGCACCGTATTCTCAGGCTGGCGAGAAGCATGCAAGGCACGTGGCTCTGAGGCGCTGGGTCCCCGGCTGGTGTGTGCTTCTCTCTTCCTGCGGCTCCTATGTCCTGCCATCCTGGCGCCCAGCCTCTTTGGCCTGGCACCAGAGCACCCAGCACCCGGCCCAGCCCGTGCTCTCACACTGATTGCCAAGGTCATCCAGAATCTCGCCAACCGTGCCCCGTAGGTGCTGGGAGGCTGGGGGCCATGGCAGGGCCGGGGGACTGTGTGGCAGATGCCTGACCTGACCCACCCAATTGGACCTTGACCCAGGTTTGGTGAGAAGGAGGCCTACATGGACTTCATGAATAGTTTCCTGGAGGATCATGGACCTGCCATGCAACACTTCCTGGACCAAGTGGCCGTGGTGGATGTGGATGCAGCACCCAGTAGTTACCAGGGCAGCAGTGATCTGGCTCTCCAGCTGGCGGTCCTGCACGCCCAGCTCTGTACCATCTTTGCTGAACTTGACCAGGTGTGCCCTGAGCCCAGAGCCCAGGACATGGGGTAGGGAGGTAAGAAAGCAGGGAGCCTCTGGCCCCAGGGAGCTTGCTCAACCTCCTCCCTGCATGCCTCACCAGGCAACCCGTGACAGCCTGGAACCACTGCCCACTATCCTGAAAGCCATTGAGGAGGGCCGGCCAGTACCTGTGTCTGTGCCGATGCGTCTCCCACCACCCCCAGCCCAGGTCCATTCCAGGTAATCGGCCTGCCTTCAGTCTGGCCTAGTTTGGATGGGTGAGAGCAAGGGCAAAGGCAAGCAAAGGATCAGACTGGGATCAGAGGTGAAGGCAGGATCATGTCAGGGGTCAGGGATGGAGTCATCTTGGGGTCAGTCTCAAAAACAGTGTTGGATGAAGGTCAGAGGCTGGAAACCAGGTCATTCAAGAGGTCAGGGAGAGGGTCACAGTGTGATCAGAAGGCAAGCACAGGATCAAACTGAAGTTCAAGGTAGGAATTGATCATTGCAGAGGTCGGAAAGAAGTACACCTGGGGTCAGAGAGAGAAAGTGATATTGTGGTAAGCAATGAGGGTCAGGTTTCAGTGAGAAGTTATGGATGTGGTCAAATCAGGGGTCAGATGTTAAAATACATCATCAGGGTCAAGGACAGCTTCATATTATAAGCAGAGCTCAGGTTAGTTGGAGTCAAGGGTATGGGTATGGGCAGAGTCATATTTGGGGGCAGAGGTTAGGGACCATGGTCTTTCAGGGGGCAGAGACAGGGTCAGTTTAAAGTCAGAGGTTGGGGACAAGAGGAGTTCGGATTAGGAAGGAAGATGGTACTCTCGGGAGCAGAAGTCAAGCCCAAGGTCAGATTAGAATCAGAGGTTACAGAGAGGGTCAGGTCAAGAGTCATACTGTATCAGAGTTCAGGGACAAGGCTAGAGAAGAATCAGAGATTAGACTGGGGTTATGTCAAGGGTCATAGAGAAGATAGAATTGTCAGAAGTCCAGGAAAAGTCAGAGTCAAAATGTGATCCCATCAGAAACAAAGTCACATAGAAGTAAAAAGATCATGTGAGGTCATTTCAGGTCAGAGGTAGGGATGGGGTCAGTTCAAGGGCCAGTCAAAGGTCTGAGCTCCTCCATCCCACTCCCAGCTTTTTGGCAGGGGAGAAGCCTGGCTTTCTGCCTCCTCGAGACCTCCCCAAACACACTCCTCTCATCTCCAAGAGCCAGTCTCTGCGCAGCGTTCAAGGTGCAGGCAGTTGGGCCTGGCAGCGGCCAGCGGAGGAGCGGCCTCCACGTCTGCCCCGGGCGGTGCAGCGCACACAAAGCGTACCGCCTAGCCGCCCCGCTCGCCGCCGCCCATCTGCAGGGCCCGGGCCGCGACCCAAAGGTTCCCAACGCACCGGCCCCGCGCCCCGCGGCAGGCACTGGACCGGGGCCTCGGCCTCGCTGCCTCGGAAGCCGTCAGTACCCTGGCAGCGCCAGCTGGACCAGCCGCGGGATAGAGACCAGGCTCTGGGTACGCACCGACCGATGGGCAAGGTGAGGTCCAGCCTAAGACCGAGGGGAGAGAATAGATTGAAGGCAAGGCAGGTCTGGGTTCAAATATGAGCTCCCTGTGCTGTGTGGCTCCGGGTCTAGCCCAACCCTCTCTGAGCTTGTTTCCTCAACACAAGAGAGTGAGATTCCAAGAGGCAGGGCTGTGAGGAGGCAGAGAGCAAGGGTCAGGAAGGTCAGGATCTTCAGGGAGAAGAAAAGCCAAGACGGCGGGTCAGGCTACAGTTGCTTTCTCCCCTACAGCTGGCAGAGCTGCAGTGCGAGGTGGCCGCTTTGCGCGAGGAACAGAAGGTGCTATCCGGCCTCGTGGAGTCGCTGGGCACCCACATCAGGGCCTTAACCGAGCAACAGCAGCAGCTTCGCGGCCAGCTGGAGGACCTGGACTCCAGGCTCCGTGGAAGGTGAGCCCTGCCTTCTCCATTAATTCCGCCCCCAGGTGGACACACTAAACGTAGTCAGATCGGCCCAGGCCCCGCTATCGTTCAGGCCCTGTCTCTCAAGTCAATCAGTCCCACTCAAACTCTGCCTGGCACGGCCACGCCCCCCAGGCCAGCCCCGCCCCAACCCACCTGTCTAGGACCCGCCTCTTGGTCAGCTTCGCCCGCCCCTAGATGAATCTGCCCCAGGTCTTCTCATCAGTACCCATCCCTCAATCAGCCCCTCCTAAACAGGTTGGGCCAGACGGGCCAAGCCCCGCCTCCAAGGGTTGGTTGGTCGTTTCACCTAGGCATTCCAGGATCTGATTCAACCCCTTCTTCAAATTTACCTAGGCCCCTCCCCCAGTCTGGACAGACCCCGCCTCCACGTCGAGCCCCGCCCCTGTATCCCCGGCTCTCCAATCAGGGGCAGGAGGCGAGTTCTCCAGCCTCTGAGCCTCCCACCTCTCCCTGATCCCCACAGGACCTTGCATTTGGATCCAGAGCGCGATTCCCCAAGCAGTGAGGCCCACAGGCTGGAAAGTCTGGTGAGACCCAAGGCTTGGGGCAGATATGGGCGATGAGGGAACGAGGGTTGGGGTACAACTCTCCCCTGTCTCCGAGCCCACTTCCACTGCCTCCCCAGGAGCGCCGCCTGGCTAAGATAGAGAGTTCTCAAGCACAGCTGGGAGATGCCATACAGAGCCTGCAGCTTCTTCCAAGGACATCGGGGTCCCGGAGCCAGCCTCTGCCCCTCAAAGCATCCTCCGTCAATGGAGACACGACCTGAGCTGCCCAGTCCACTCCACGGGGTCTGAGAGCAAAGAGATAGCCGTTTTAGGTACCCCCTCCGAACCTTGTTTGACCAGCCTACAGTGAGGAATGGAACTGTACGTGCCAATCAGTCTGGCACCACGAAGTTGCCCAGTAAAATCTTGATTTCAGTAAAATCAATGGTTTCTTTGCCTTAAGCGTTGTCAATCAGAAAGCACCCTGCTCCCATTCAGCTCTTCCAAATTCTCCCCTAATCGGATGGGCACATGAAGGGTGCAATGTAAAAAGATTCTCACCAACTGTGTGACCTCAGGCCTTCACTCTCTGAGCTTCAATGTCCTCATCTGTAAATTGGATCTCAAATTCCTTACACAGAAGATCCGTAGTTTACAAAAAAAAAAAAAGTATTCGTTCATCAGTTTTAGGGCCAGCACCTGTTTCTGAACAATGCCCAGACCCCACCTCCACCAACCCCGAGGCCCCAGATAAGAACATTTTCCAAGGCCCCTAAATCCTACACCAGCTCCCTCATGGCAGGGAGGGCATGGGTCTGGGAAGTGGGTGAAGAAAGGGGTGGTAGGTGTAGAGATAGTTGAGCTCTGTGGGTGCTGGTTGGGTAAATGAGGGAATTTGAATCGTGGGTTGGTGGATGGGTGAGGGGTAGGGTGAGTGAGACAAGAAGAAGAGAATAGGTTAACATTTGCTGGATATTTGCTCTGGTAGGTGAGAACTTAAGTAGGTGAGTAGCTGTGATGGGTATGAGTGCCTAGAAAAGGCCTGGATCATAGTAGGAAATAAATATTTAAATTGAGTATGTGGTTATATATACTGCATGAACATTTGTTGAGGTGACCTGAAACTCTTGAGCTGGGCAGTGAGGAAACAGTAATGAACTAGACAGACAGGACTTCTGTCCTCATGGAACTTACACTCTAGTGGAGAAGATAAACAAGTAAACATGCAATTGATGGTTGGATGGATGTTTGGATGGCTGGATAGAAGGTTCTGTGTAAGGAAGGGCGGGTACTTGCTTGGTTATATGGATAAGTAGGTATGTACTTGGGCGGTGGTTGGGCGGTTTGAGTGGGTTTTGGGGCGTGTGGATGAGTGAGTAGGTGGTTAGTTGGTTGAGTAGATCCATGGTTGATCGATTGAGTGTGTGGATGAATGGGTGGGTAGAAAGATGAGTGGTTGGACATGTCGATGGGTGGTAGCTGTGAGAAGGCAGGAAGCTTAGCCTAACATGTGTGCATGATGGGGTAGTCCTGGAGCCTGCGATTCTGGGGGTTGGGTGGAGAAGAGGGGCTTAGGATGGGGGACTAGGGCAGGCTCTAGGAGCATGGAAGTGCTGAAGTCCAGTGTGGATAATGAGGAAGGAGGCAGTGAGTTTGTTGTTAGAATGTAACTGAGGACTAAAGGCTAAGGATTGGGTGGTTCTGTGGAGTTCTCAATGACCTATGAGTGACCCAGAGGAGAACTTCTCTGCCCTCTCCCCACACTTCTGGTGCTACTAACAAGCATAGCATTGGAAGAACCAGTGGGGTGGTGAGGAGCCACTGTGATTAGAGTATTGTCATGGTAATAGAGCCTCTCCCTGGACTCTTAGGCCGCGCGGGCCCTTTAAGGGTGACCCGCCTGGCCACTCCCAACATGGCGCGCGCCCGCTGGCCACCCCCGCCCCCCGGGGCGGCGCAG